CACGGCTCCTCTCCCTCGGCAGGCTTTCTCTCTCCAACTCCTTATTCCTTTACCTTTGTCTTCCTCATTTAGATTTTCCCTCCTAATCGTCTTTCCTTCTTCCAGTATCTTTAGTTTCTCTGTATTTCTCTTTTGCTTTCTGCCTCTTCCTCTTTTTCCTATGTCCTCGCCTTTCTTTGCACTCTACTTTTTTAAATCACTCTTTGTCTTTGTTTTACTCTGTCCTTTTATTTCTGTATGTCCTCTGGTTTTCATGACTTTTCCTCCTTTTTGGAAAAAATTAAAAACCAAAGTCTTTCTCTCTCTTTTTTTTAATAACTTTACTTTCTGTCTTAAATTTTCCCCTCATTTTTTCTCTTCTCTTTCGTTCTGGCTCTCTTTATTTGTTTTTCATGTCTTTCTTTTTTCTTTCCTACCTTCTTTTTGAGGTTGTCTGTGTTTTCTCTCCTTTTCTCAATTTCATCTCCTCCCGGCTGCCCTCACCACTTTTTCTCTCCTTTTCCTTTCCCCGGCTCGCTGGCAATCTCCCCTCTCATCAACTGTCTCCCCATCTCGCCAAGCTCACGGCCACCTCTGCTGTCCTTCCCGGCTTCCACTCGCCCTCCCCCCGGCCTGCATCTACCTGTGTGCCTGCGCCCAGCTGTCTCAGAAGCTGGGCCCGCAGGCTGGTGGGGGGACAGGCTTTGGGCAAGATGCCTTCAACCCCAGAGTCGCAGCTGAGAGCCTGGAGCCCACCCCAGCAAGAGTACCCTCCACTTACTCTGTGACCAGGACCCACGGCAGCCCAGGCAGGGGGTCTGGCGGGCAGCCGGTGTAGACGCGGCCAGGAGGCTCACCTTCCATGTCCCTGGTGACGGTGCTGAAGTGCATCCCGGCTGGAGATCCTGGCAGCTGACAAAGCTTCGCCTGGTAGGGGGCCCCGGGGCCCCAGTGGGAGGTGCCCTCGGCAGCCTCAGCTGCAACCAGAGAGACGATGCTGAACGCACTGGCCCGGGGAGACAGCGGGCTCCGTGCATCCATAGGCGCCTGGCGGCCTGGCCGGCGCCGCCTCTGACTGCTTTTGCCCAGCAGCACCGCGCCCAGCCCAGCCCACGGGCCGGGGGCGGGGGCCTTTGGTGCCATTCACAGCTGCCGGCCCCAGGCCCAGGGGATTATGGTGTCATGGGCTCCCACCTGGGGCTGGTATCGGGCCCCAGACGAGTGCAGCACCCTGGCAATGTGGGGCCCTCCTGCTTTCCAGGCTCTCTGCCTCTCGCCTGCGCTCCCAGGGACCTCTGAGGCCAACGCCCTTTAAACATCCCACTGCTCCTGCCAAGGCCGAGCCTCCCTCTGAACAGTGAAGCCACCATCATCTTCTACAGCCCCAGAGGAGAGAGAGGTGGCTATGCCAGGAGCACCCAGCCCCAGCCCGAGGTGGCAGGGCACGGATGAAGCTCCTAGGGCTGCCTGGGCCCAGCCCTACCCCTGCCCTTGGCCCCTCCCGCCTCCCCCTCCTCCTTGACTGTCCCTGCACCTGGGTGAAGAGAGGGCAGCTCGGCTCCCGCGCCGGCCACTGGCAGCCCCAGGGCTGGAGCGTCCTCCGTTTCTGGTTCCTCAGCTCAGCAGGACAGGACCCAGCCCAGCAAATGCCCCACAGCCCCCTGAGGTCAGCTGGCTGCTGTGGCCAGGGACCTGAGCAGAGGGACGCCGCCCAGGCCGCGCAGCCTGGGAGCTGGAGTGTCACGCGCACCCGCGCGCACCGCCCGCCTCTGGCCAGGACGCTTATACATCCGGAGGGTGGGCAGTGCCCGCTCCTCCGACCTCCCTGCGCACCGGCCAGGCGCAGGGAGGGCCGGGGGCGGGGCCTGGCCAGCCTCGGGAGCCGACGACACGTCGGAGAAGTCAGGCCACCGGGTCCAGTGCTGCCCCCTCGGCACCCGTCAGCTGGCCTGCCCGCCGAGGAAAGCCCTGCTGCCGAGGTGCCCAACCAGGCCGGGCAGAGCGAGGCGAGGCCCGCCCCTCAGCCTCGGGGCTTCTAGGCCCAGGCGTCCCTAATGCCAAGGCCTGACTTGGCCCGCGCAGTCCCCACCTTCTGTCTTTGGGGCCTCCTCTGACCAGTTCCTCGTGTCCATGGCCTTCCTGTCCAGGGTCTCTCCAGCTGGGTATCAAGCCCGGAGCCTCCCTGGCCCAGCATTGAGGCGCCGGAGGTCAGGGCCTCGGTGTCCAAGGCCTCTCTGGGTACACCTCCATTGAAGGTCTGTGCTTGCGCTTGCTTGGGATGGGAGTGGAAGGCAGACAGCCTCTCCCAGGGTTTTACAGTCCCAGGGCCTCAGGCCTGGGCTGGAGAGGGCACTAACTGGGGGCTGGGAAGGCATAGGGAACTGAAGACGAGGGGCCCAGGAAATCGTGTGAGCCTGAGAGTGCTGTGTGTCTGGGATGTGGTGCATTTCACTGCGTGTGCAGGGAGCCCGTGTCCCGCCCCAGGCCTGCAGCTGGAGTTTTATGGACCGTGTCAGGAAAGGGAAGCTGTCACCAGGGCTTTTCCCCAGCCCTGAGTGGCCATTCGGGGCCATGACTGTGACAGTGACTTGTGTCACTCAGTGACAGTGTCACTGAGGGGGCCAAGGAACAGGTCTAGTGAGGAGTGCTGTGTGGGGGCCTGCTGAGCCCCTAGCACCTTTCCCTCTTCCCTGAGCAGAGCCAGCCTGTTGCCCCCAGGTCCCTAGGAGAAGCTGCTCCTGGTGGAGGGGAGGACCCCAGGGAGGCAGGCTGGTGGGAGCAGAGCATGGGCGTGCTGGGGGGGCACCCAGAGAGGCTCTGGCCAGGCGGGCTGTGCGTGGGTCCTGGTGTGGGGGGAAGTGGAGGTCCTGCACGAGGTTTTGCGTTATCCAGGGTGCACATTGCCCCAGACTGGGCCGGTGCCCGAGGTTGTGTCCTGTGCAACTGAGGGAACCTTCCACATGTGCACACAGGAGGGTAGCCGCCAGACATTGAGCCTGCGGGTGAGGCCAGCATCGAGAAGGGAGAAGTGAAAGCGAAAAACCCTGGGGCCTCCTGGGACTCTGGGTCAGCCCCTAAGGCACAGTCCTGAGGTCCCCAGACCTCTGTATTTGAGGTGGAGCGGGAAGCAGAGCTCTCCCAGCCCCCAATTAACCCCTTAGTGCAGGAGCCGAGACCGTCAGCGGGCTGGTCAGCAAACGCTCTGCCATCAGAGTGGTGGAAGGCCCAGGGCGACAAGGCCGTAGGCGCTGGGAAGAGGCGAGGGGCCCCCACCACACTGTTCCATCCCCCGACCCACTGCGCCCACACTGTTCCATCCCCCGACCCACTGCGCCCAACCGCTGTCCATACTCGATCGATTTCGGAACCCCGACCCCTCTGCTCAAAGCCGGGGCCCTCCTGAGCCCTGGGCTAAAGGGGCCTGAAGCTCAAGAAGCGCGAGGCCACCGCCTCCACCGCCCAGCGGGGCAGGAGTCCTAGGACCCTCCCTCTCTCTTGAGCGCTGCACCGCCTGCTGGCTCCCGCCACTCGCCCGCGCTCCTCGCCGCCTGCCGCCGCCCCACCCTCGGTGCCTGCCCGCCCGCAGCCTAGAGGTAGCGCGCCTGCTGGGTGGCCTAGGCCCTACACACGATGGTTCCGCACGCGAGCGCAGCACCCCGGCACAGGCCCGCGACAAGCGCTCCTCCCTCACCTGGACCGGCCGCGGCTCCCTTCTGCTCGCTCCCCCTGCCGGCCGCACCTCCGTGACGGCGAGGTAGGAGTCCTGGCCTCGCGTGCGCCAGGAGGGTAGGGGCAGCCTGGGGGCTCCAGCTGCACCAGGGCCGACTCCTCGGGGCGCGATGCAAGGCTGGGGCCTGGGCGGCTTGGTCCCTACTCCGCGTGCAATGCAGAGGGAGGACAAGCCCCGCATTTTTTGGGCAGAGGGCTGAGCAGCGTGGAGCTATGAGGACACCATTGTACAGGCCCAGAAACCGAGGCTTGGGGACCAGAAGCTTGGCTGAGTGCAGGAAGTTGGAGGGGCGGCATGGGGTGAGGACTTGCTGCAGGCTTTGCCTTGCCCTCGGGCTCTTTGCGCAGCATGTGAAGGGTCCTGTGCGGGCTCCCTAGGGCATCCTAGCACTGCTGGGGTCCCGGGTGCAGAGACTCACTCACAGTCCGTCTTCCGCCCCGCGTCTTGGGAGTTTCTAGTGAAGCAAGCCCTAATTTTGGAAGTTTTCTCCCCAGCTCGATGGAGGCTGCCCCTGGAGAATCTTGGCGGCCCGGCTGTCCGCCCAGCTCCGCCTCCCTGGGCTTGCTGGCTCCCCGGGGGGAGCCTTCAGACAGACGCCCTCATGCCCACCCAGCGGGACCCCACTTCTCTCTTCCTGTGTGTCACAAAGGCTCAGTGCCCTGCCTGCCGCTCAGCACTCACTCAGCGCCCTCTGTTCTGAGCCCTGGAAGGACCCTCACCCCCTCCTGTCTCTGGCAGGCGCACCAATTTCCCAGCTCGTGTGTCCCCAGACAAGGTGCCCACGACCCGTGCCCCCAGCATGGGTCCCAAGCTGTTTGCAAATGCGCACACAGGCGGCCCGCGCGACATCGGTACGTGGAGGGGCACCCAAGAGTGCACAGTGCGCGGGACCCTTCCTCCAGGCGTCAGAGCAGGGAGGGAGCGGAATCGGGCTGCGTCCTCCCGGGGTGCAGAGGGAAGCACTGAGAGGAGCCGAGCTCTACTTGACCCTGCTAATTCGTTTTAGGATTGATCGCCCAGAATTGCTTCCAGCGCTTTCCTGGAGGCAGCCTCAGATCTCAGAGGAAGGCTGGGCGGGGAACCAGGAGCCGCCTGCACCCGGCCCTTCCACCGCCGCCGGCCGCTCTGCCCGGGGCCGGCTACCCAGGGGGCCGGTACTGAGAGCTGAGGCTCGAGTCGGAGTGAGCGGCCCCAGGGCCAACCTTCGCCGGAGACGGGAAAGGCAGGTGTGCTCTGGAGGTTCTGTGCTCTCTTCCCGGAGCAGTTCCCACCACTTGACTCTCGGCCCTCCCCAGCGGGTACTTGCGGCCCTCCTCAGCGGGTACTTGCGCAGCGACCCGGCCCTCCCCTGGGGCACGCCCCATCATCCCTCCATGCCATGAAAGTGGTTGGCCTGCGACATCACTGAACGCGACATTCTGGGTGACCCTCGTGGGCGTGGATGGGCTGATACCCTGGGCCCTGGAGGTGGGCAGGTGAGGGCCACGTGCCAGTGCTATGCGCAGGGCTGCTTGGCTGTGGCCTCTGTCCCTTCTAGGGCCCCCAGTCGCCAAGCGCGGAGTAGCATCCTGGGCACCCCCGGTGGGGGAGGGGCTGCCACTAGGCTGCGTCAAAACCGGGGTCGCACGTGTGGCCCTCATGCAGCAGCCCTAGCATCTGCTTAGACGCAGTGGGTTTGCAGATCCTTGGGCGGTGCTAAGTCAGAACTGGGGGTCTTGGTGATGTGGACCGAGCTGGAGCCACAACAGGGGCCAGGCCCACAGCGAGGGAGGGGAGGAGAGGGAACGGCTTCCCTGCCCCGCCACAGTGTCTGTTGTGCCACTGGACACTGCCTGGTGGGGTTGGGGAAGTAGGTGACTTCTCTTACTCAGCCTGGGGTCTCAGTGGGGCCCCTCTCCAGCTTGTCACTTAGGTGGCCCCTACCACTCCTTGAGTCTTCCCTCCCTGGGCTCCTCCTGAGGCGTGGGGGCTGGCCCCCTCTACAGGAAAGGAAGTCTCTGTGGAGCTCCCCTCCAGGTGTCCTCAGTGGTGTTTGCCCAAACTGCAGGCGCTTGGGAAGTGCTCTGTGACTGGCCCTGAGCTGGGGGCAGGGGGATGCTAGACAGCAGGCAGGAGCCCCAGGCCCACAGTGAGGTTCACTGGAGGGGGGCCAAGGACTCCAAGGAGGTGTCCCTATAAGCCTGGCCAAGCAGAACGGCCTGGGAGTTAGGAACAGCCTGATGTGTACACTCTTACGGCTGGGTGGCTGGTGGGTGGGGAGAGACGCTGGGCAGGGGTGGGATGAGGTTGGCCTAGGTGCGGGCTGGCCCCAGGGTAGGGCCTGACCCAGCCCAGAGTCCTAGTGCTTGGGCCCTTGGGGCCCAGTGACTGCAGGATGAACAAAGATGGAAACCGAGACCCTGAGAGAGGCAGATGTGGGAGGGGGAAAGGGTGGGTAGGAGAGAAGACAGGACAACGAGGCACAGCCACGGGTGACACCAGCCTCCTCAGAGCTGGGAGGGGATGGGCCAGGGTCTGCACAGCCACACACAGCTGCCTCCAGCCTCCCATCTGCCCAGGCCTGGCTGCCTCCCCACAACTGTGGGTGCTGTGTTCTGGGCCACGTTCCCAGGAGGCCAGGTGGGGGAAATGGTGAGGGGCTGGCTAGGCCGGATGGGTGATGGCACCCCCTGCCCCCTGACCTCGCCAGGCACCAGGGCCTCCTGCAGACTGGAAGTTCCCACAACTCCAGAACAAACAAACAGACAGACAGACTGATGGACAGCCAGGCCCTGGGCCCCTCTCTAATTTCTGAGCCTGTTGATTTAGCTGCCCACTTGGTGGGAGGACCCAGCCACATGGGGAGCTGGCTGTCCATCTGTGTCCATCTACTGGCCACACTAGCCCCTCCTCCCCAGGTGCCAGCAGGCAGAAGTGAGGCTCAGAGACCCAATGACCCATATGCAGGCTGGTGAGGACGCTGGACCTCTCTCTCCCTGGGGCGGGGAGGCGGATGTGGCAAACAGCCCCTCCCAGCCCCTCCTTTCCCTTTGTGGCCCCTACATGGGAGCCACACTTTCCAGGAGAAGGGACATGCCCCCAGACCCCTGCAGGTGTGCTGTCAGGACATGGACAGTTGCAGGCTGTCCCCCAGGTCCCTGTGGGCAGCAGGGGAGCCGACTGGATAGCAGTCTCCACCTCCCCGTGCTCAGGCACCCATACCACATGCACACACACACGTGTGCCCACACCAGGCATATGATCAAACACACATACACATGTGAGCACACCATATACTATGACCATGGGCACACCTGTACACATGCACATGCTGGACACAGACACAGAAGTGAACTTGGGCACACCCTGTGCACATGTACAGGCACCTGTGAGCATGGGCGCACGCACACGCTGTACACACAGACACACAGCTGTGAGCATTGGCACACACACGTACACACGATGCCGACGCAGACACCAGCACACACACGTGAGTGCACTCATCATGCACAGCGGCCACTGTGGCTCCTCTGCAGTGATGATGATGTTCATTTCAGTAACTCAAGTGATGCAAGGGCCTTAGATTGACGTCACGTGGGCGTGGCCTGTGTGGAACCTGGTGCCACGTGCTAAGGGAGAATACAGTATTTCAGTCCCCTCATGTCAGACCGTCCCCTGAGGGTGACACACTCAGATGATGACCCTCAGGAGAAGGGCCGATTGGTGGGCTGATGCCGTGGACATTGGTACAGGAGAGACTCCCATAATGGAATCGGTTGACAGGGACCCTTCCCGGTGGAACCCACGGGGAGGCCACTTTCCGTGCTCAGACCCCAACCCCGACCCTGGCCTGGGGGTCCATGAGACTGGGCCGCTGTGCGGAGCAAGGACCCAGGACAGGCCAGAGGCAGTGAGGAGTGGTGTCAGCACCTGGTGAAGCCGTGCTCCCGGAAATCACTGGGTATGTTGCCTCGCTCCTTAAAACCATCTAAAATACTCAAATGTATCAAACTCGGAATTTTCATTAAATGCTTGATTAACTCAAGTTGTCCACATAGTCAGTGTGCCAGCCAGGAGAAACTGTGTGTGGAAATCCGGTCTGAGTGCAGAGCCTGGCAGAGCCCCCGGGGCTGCCGGCTCGTCACTGCTGACCCCTGCCAATCCGGGCCCATTCCCAGGCGCCTGGTCCAGCATTCGGAGCCTCGTCGCCCACCGCTCTGGGTCGGCCCACTTCAGCCTTCTGCCTCTGTCTGTGGGGCTGGCCATACCCCTATCGTCTTCCCAGGGAAGCCCTCATGGAGCTGGGGCTGAAGGCAGGTGGGCTGCCCAGGCTGGGGCAGGTGTTGGGGACACTACTGTCACAGCAGAGTCAGCGTAAGGGCAGAACAGCCTGAGGGCCAGGCTCCTGCATGGGACCCCCAGTGGAAGGCCTGTGGAGGGCCAGCACCCCATGGGCAGCGGCAGCCAGACCGGAGGGAGCTGGTCGAAAGCCAGGAATAGCATTTCATTTCAAGGGAGAGCAGGACTCCTTCAGGCAGGGCCCTGTCCCCTCTGCCCTTTGGAGCAGGGAAGAACCAGGGCGGTGGTGTGTCTTAGTGGTCAGGACTGGGGCCAGGAGTGAGGCTCACCCTGCAGGGCTCTGTGTCCGGGGACACACCTTGACCTCCCCAAGCCTCAGCGTTTTCATCTGAGAAATGGGAGAAATGGCTCAAGGCCACACAGGGTGGACCAGGCGAGCTCATGTGGGCTCCTCTGCCAATGTCACCATTGTTGCTGCCTGGCCCCCTTGGGCCACCCCCAAATTCTAGCTGGTTCTCCCAGCAGTATGTATAGGTGTCTGCACCCTCCCTCCTCCCAAGGAGCCTCCTGGCCCAGCAGGGGCTTGGAGAGGGGCGTCCTCACCCCTGCCCCTGGGAAGCCCAGTTATGCGCCCTCTCCTAGCTTCCCCACTGGGTCCTTGTGCCCAGACTCAGCCTCAGTTTCCCCATGTTCACGAGTGTGCCCCAGCCCCACCCAGC